AGTGACAATAGAACATTCGACCAGATGCACAGACGAGACAAGTTGTTTATCACGAACGCACAGCATGGTTAATGCTATTCGACACACAACTAATTATCGATGCGACAGGCCAACTGCATGCGTCAGTTGAACTGCGATCGAAGTGTGGTCGACGAATAGTTTAGTTACAGAGCAACTCGCAGTATACAAGGTAACTAAAACAGCATGTTTAATGCTCTTCGACTCACAACTAATTATCGAAGCGACAGGACAACTGCACACGTCAGTTGAATTGCGATCGAAATGTGGTCGGCGTATAATTTAGTTACAGAACTCGCCGTAGACAAGGTAACTAAAATAGCATGGGTAATGCTCTTCGACACACAACTAATTATCAATGCGACAGTACAACTGCACACGTCAGTTGAACCCGGATCGAAGTGAGGTCGGCGCATAATTTAGTTACAGAGCAACTCGCAGTATACAAAGTAACTAAAAGTACGAGCAGTACTATAATGTATGGGAAGACGATGCATACACCGAATAACCATAATAAAAAGCAGAAGTACTGCACGCAACAAAAAACCATAAGAATGCTTTTATTGTAACCTGTAGTATGTCACGAAGTGTCGAGCAAAAACTCCAAAGTGAATAAAACACAAATTCACTGTCTTTTCTGAGAGATCTGTTGTGCCACCACGAGTGGACCAAACTGTTTGAGTCCTTCAACATCTTCTGTGGAGATATCTCTAAGATAATGCGAAGCAAACACTGAAGTAGATCTCCAAAAGCAGCCCTCCATAATAACTTGTAGCGAACAATTACTGTGGAGTGCTAATGTTGAAGCGAAGGCTCGAACTTCGTGCGGATGAGAGGAGGTGGGAGGTGCGAGTCCTTGCGCCTCGTAAGCTCTGAGAATTACCGCTCTCAACCAAAATGAGAGAGTATTACGTGTAATCTCTTTCTTTGCATTGGTTGAGAGCGGTATGAACAGCCGTCGAAAATATTGTCGTCGCTGTTCAGAACGCTGCAGGTAAATACGAAGCGCACGAACTGGGCACAAGGTGAGATCAGCGTGATCATGAGGGCCCATAATGGCAGACAAGGAAGGAATGTTGAACATTCTCGGATCTTGGCCAGGAAGTTGATTTTTCGCTAAAAAATCCCATCTGAGACCAAGATGGACGTTGCCATGGTTACGCTGATCGAACGTAATCCGACCGACGTCAATGGCATGTATTTCCGTAATTCTCGCAGCTGTAGCCAGCGAGAGAAGGAAAACCGTTTTCTGAGACAATAAGTCGAACGAGACCTGATCGAGAGGCTCGTAAGCCTGACTAGACAGGTTGCGCAGAACGACATCAAGGTCCCAGGCCGGCGGTCGGAATTTATGTGACTGATCTTCAACCATGAAGGCACGTAGAATCTTCTGCAACTCCGGTACGTTAGTGAGCTTGTCGCCTGTAGGAGACGGCACTACTGAAGCCAAAGCTGCCAGATATGTCGAGATCGTCGACCCTTTCAGACGCCGAGATGACCGGAGAGAGACTAGGAACTCCGCCACCTGTGGTGGGGTCGCTACCGCCGGGTTGAAGCCATGAGACCTGGCGAAAATGGAGAAAGTGGTCCACTTGTCATCTTACAGCTTACGAGTCGTAACTCGATGTGCCGACGAGACAAGCGCTGCCGCTTTAGCCGAATAGCCTTTCTTCATTAACGAGGTCTTAAGCAAACCCAGGCGTGAAGCTGGAAGTTCTTTATCCCCGGATGCAAGTCGTCGGTGTGAGGATGAAGAAGGAGGTCGTCTCGATCTGGCAACGGGAACGGTGGTTGATCGATGATCTGAAGAATTTCCGGGAACCATGTTCTGGCTGGCCAATAAGGCGCGACCAAAAGCAGACGTAGGTTGGCCGTTTGACGAACTTTCACCAGTTGCGATGGTAACAGCACCGTTGGTGGAAACGCGTAAGCGTCTAGACCCCCCCACGATATCGCTAGAGCGTCGTGGTCCCATGCCCGTGGGTCTGGAACCGGTGACACGAATCGAGGGAGGCGGTTGTTGTACGGGGCAGCAAAGAGATCTTCTTGGGGCAACCAGAGTCGATCTGTCAGCAGATTAAAGACTGTCGGATGGATCATCCACTCCGTGGGAGACGGCCTCGATGGTCTCGACAGGGCGTCGGCAATCACATTCTTGGCCCCCGGGATGTGACGGGCGCGTACGCCCATGTCCAAGTCGTCGACGAGGGCGAAGAACCTGAATGTCCGGTCCAGAAGGGCCGCCGACGGCTGGAGCCACCACTCCAGATGACAACGTAGCTGCGCCGGAAGTGGAACCAGGAGATTGCTGTACCCCCACCTGGAGTTTCCCAATCTCTGCAGCGGACGAAGTTGAAGACGACCTCGACGAGTCAAGTCTTGGGCCGATGTCAACATACCGAGGACTTCCTGCCACGTGTGCACCGACGCCGAAGCATGTAGAAGTCTCGGAACGCTGCTGACAATCTTGTCCCAACGGTCTTGAGGTACCTGGACCAGATTGACTCCCGTCTGGAAGCTTATCCTAATGCACTGTAGAACCCGAGTTGGTACCAAGTCCGACTTTTGAAAGTTGACGATCCACCCGAGGTACCGTAGTAGACTCAGGGTGGTCGCCAACTCACCTTGAAGGGCTTCTGTAAACTGGTGAGCTTGGAGCCCGTCGTCTAGGTAGAAGGCGACCCTGATCGCCTGCTGATGGAGCCATTCTACGACCGTCTTCATGATCCGTGTGAAAAAGCACGGGGCCGTAGAAATTCCAATCGGGAGGGCCGCCCACTGGTAATGAATACCTTGGTATTCGAATCGGAGGTACTTCTGGAACTCGGAAGCTATTGGTACATGTAGATACGCGTCCTGAAGGTCTAACGAGACGAGGAAGTCGTTCGGTAATATCATCCGACGCAGAGAGCTGAGGGATATCAAGGTGAATGCGTCAGCCGATCCGTTGGTGGAATTTGGAATGTCGGGGATGACGTCAGTGGTGGCGTCGATCTCAGGCGTGGGGCGTAGCCTGTTGTCAAAATGTTCTGAACGTAAGGGTCGTTGAGGAAAACCCACTTGTGGGCATAGTGACGAAGTCGCCCCCCTACCGGTAGCTCGTCTAAAGGTAGTGTCACCGGGGGAGATTCCAACCACGGCGACGGCGGGGGAAGGGACCTCACTTCCTCCCCCGCTGGCACTGTCCCCCTCTGGGAAACTTGGAAAAGGAGACCTGGCGACCTTTCCTGTCGGAATCTCTCTTGCGGGACGGCTTTCGAGGCACGTCCCTACGGAAGGCCCGTTGCACATTCTCGTTTCGGTAACGTCGTCGTGGGGCGTTCGAAACCGGTGGCCGTCTGGACAGGTTGTGTGAAGCCGAAATGATGATGTCACGCTCGGCTTCCCTGGAGTACTTGTCCAGAACGTCGTTGGTACGACCGTCGAACAACTGTTGCGATGTCCACGGGGCCCGTAAGAGTGACCTGCCATGACGATCAGGTAGGTCAGTGCAGTCGATGTAACCATGGCGACGCGCCGTAGTAATCTGGCCCGATACATATCGGGACTGGGCGAGGACGTCCGAGATCCACCGTTGCATACAGGGGAGGACCGATGGCACCGTCCTGTCGTCCTCGTCCTGGGGTTCTTTCTCCTCAAAGTACACTGAGAGGGCCTTGATCGCTGTCGACAGCATAGCAAGCGTTTGCAGCTGGTGACGAACAGCAGTGTCCATGGATTCCAAATGTGGAGGGCGCTGGTCTCTTGAAGAGTAGCCCCCAGTCCAAATCCCTAGTCATGGGTGACGAAAACGGCATTCGACGACCACGATGAACGCCCTCTTGTCGTGTACTGTCTCTCGACGAGGCACTCGTCCTGTCGTCCCGACTTGAACGGGAACGACTTCTGTGTCCACTGTCGTCCCGCACGATGTCCCTATCGTCGTTGGTAGAACGAGATACGGACCGACTGGGGACCGTAGTCCCCTCATGGTCCTCGTCACCACCCGGTCCCGTCGTAACGGGGGAGGCTGAGTGACGCTCTCGATCAACCGAATGACGAAGACCAGTCGTGCGGGTAGTATCATCAGCAGGCAAACGGTCACATGTCTTGTCGAAAACTGAAGTTGACTGAGGCGGGTCTTTATCAACTGATTTCTGAGGTGTGGTCGACTCGCCACCCCCAGGGCCTGATGCGGAGGGTGCAGAGTCCAAGGATCCAACCGATGACCTTCTCTGCTTGTAGCACTGGTCAGCAGCCCGCTTCGCCAACGCACGAAGATACAAGTTAAAGTTTATTGAAGACAAGTTCTCACATTCTTTACAACGTTTATTCCACGAACACTTTGAAAACCCGTCCTTAATGATGCAGGAAGGACAATACTTGTGAGGGTCTACTTTAGACAGTTTTCGTTGACACGAGGCACAAATGCCCGACATATTGCCACGTGTAGAATCACTGTCAAACAGCGATACACAAACAATGGATTACCAAGGATTACATTCCAGGAGTCTACAGGTAAGACATATTATTACTTTATTAGAACAACTGTAGATAAGCGATAAGTACTAGTAGAATACAAACTAGCAGTCTACCCCGAAAGACTTTCTCGAGCGACCAGCGCAGAGGCGCGCTGAGAGATTTGTGACATGTCATAGGGAGGTGCGTGCGCAACCGGACGGAAACAAGTTTAATGTTTACATTCCAGCTTCTGGCTTCCTCTTAAACGTGCGACTAGACGTGAGGGTATGAGAGATACCCATTTGTACGACTGAAAACAGACTAAAACATAAATAATCTACCACAAAACAAATTGCAAGGTTTTTTTTCTTCCTAAAAATATATTTAGGCTCATAGTCTTAATCAAAACAATATCTGGTTTTGAAATATCTAGTCTCCAACATAATCCCAGCACCCCCCCACCCCCCTCCAATGATTGGACCTACCATGAGGACACTATCCTGAAGACTCCATTTGGCAAATGCTTCTGGAACAACAACGTGTCATTTCCAGCATGTTTTATTTGGTGTCATTACAGAGATTCCCAAGTCTTCCTTCCATTGGTCACAGAGCACACACTAACCAGCCACCATCAGCCATACTGTAGTAACATACACTAGGAAATCTATGTCATCTCAAACAAAGAATACAATTTGTGAAAATTATCTTTCTGCGCCATACCTTGTTTTTAATTCTGTTGAAAAATCAATAAATGTTTAAACCCTGATTTGGCAATGGCTGTCATGTTTTGGCAGAAAAGGGTTTACATGTTCCCATGTGAGAATGAAACTCACATATTCAGCATGGCAAGTGAACACACTATCCTTTACATCACCCCATAGAGGACTATATGTGTACCTGTGAACAAGTCTTAGCACTAATACTGAGTAAAATGCAAGTGCAACTTTAAGAAAACAAATATAAATCTGTAAAAGTGTGTAGTGTTTCAAATATACTTAAACTTGTTAAGATGATTACTCGATACATTCCCCAACTTTCTAGTGCTGAGACAAAAAAATGGAACTTGTACAATGACAACTTGCATATACGTTTGAAAAAAGCACTTTGTACAGCAACATCAGTATCATGTCACTCTTAATAAACCTATACAAGGGAAACCAATTTCTTTTCTTTAATGTACATAAAATGTGTAAAAAAATAATAACAGAAAAACAAAATATGATTTGATCAAAAGCATGTTACCTCCTGACCTAACATTCTAATTTCTGACTACTCAAGTTGAACAAATTTTGGGAAAATCAAACATAGTTTCATAAACAACAGTTATTTCTTTGTGAACACCCTTGACGTGTTCAAATCAGCCAATATTGTTTTTTCACATTTGTCTAGAAATCCAGGAATTATTGTTGAAATGGACTTCCTAGTCTATTATTTTGTTCATAATATCAAACTCTATTTTAACTGTTTATCACTGACATCCACAACACATGAGTCTTGTGTTATATACAAGTAGACCTTTCCCGCACCCGTTGAGACAATTTATCTCATGACTGGCATAGTGGTGGCTGAGCCCTTCTGAACGCCAGCGTCATCGGACTTCCACAGTTGTGTGATGGTCTTCACCTGGGTGTAGAACTGGATGCCCTGGAAAGAGACAAGACTGTTAGTGAGTCGGGTTGAACAGTATTTCAGTTTCATCACAGAATGTAAGCTTACTGTGTTTGTTTGTTTATTGTTTAACGCTGCGTACAATGACAGGCATCAACCAAGTCAGTGACTGACAGGCTGCTGACTTCTTTGATGCTCATGTTTGTCAGGTCCAGACTCAGTTATATACAGACTGCCACCAAACAACTGGAATACTGCTGAGTGCCAGTGACACTGGAGGAAAGCCCAAAGCAACAAAGCTACTAGATAACTACTGCTATGGTGAAACACATGAGCTGGCAAAATAAGGATCAATGGAGAGTCTAGAGTCTAGATACCCAGGATCACCGAGTATGACATGACGGTGTGAATGTACCTGTTTGCCATAGAAGTTGGTATCGCCACGGAAAGAGCCTCGAGATCCTGTGAAGGAGAACATTGGGAGGGGGACGGGAATAGGGACGTTGATGCCCACCTGGAAAAATATCAAAGACATGAAATAACAATGTTTGCTGCATGGTACACTGATCAGTATGTCACTTCTATCATGGCAGTGAAATTAATGATGGAGGAAAGCCCAAAGTGGGGCAGATTGTAAACCTTGACCTGTACAGGTGCTCACTGACCACCAGCTCATCCTGTCACGGCTAAGGGATGTAAATCTACACCAAGTTGTGGCAACAAAGCCCACTGAGCTCCTGATGAAATGAAAAAATTAAACTTCTGCATAAACAACATTTTGGCCATATGGTGATGGCGTAAAGTTTCAAATTTAACAAATGTGTACAATGTCATATGACAGGAACCATGACACCATGTCCAGAACAAACAAATCATATTAAAACAAATATTGAGTTGAACTCTAGGAATAAGGACTTGAAAATGTACCTGTCCAACGTCAGACTCCATGGTGTATTTCCTGGCAGTGGCGCCATTATTTGTAAAGATGGCGGTGCCATTTCCATACGGGTTTGAGTTTACTAGTTTGATAGCGTCGTCCAGTGTGTCCACCTCCATGCTGACCAGTACCGGCCCAAATATCTCCTCTGTGTAACACTTCATGTTGGGCTGGACAGACAGAAAGATTGGTCACATGGTATACACATGTGTCATGTGAGGTGAGGTGAAATGTTTTTGTTTTTTTATGGTGATGTGTGCATGTGCGTGTGTCTGAATATGAGTGTGTGTGAGAGAATGTCAGTGTGATAGTAAGTGTGTGTGTGTGTGCATGGATGCATGTCTGCTTGTACTGGTCAAGATTAATGCTAGCCTACTGAGATACCATGCCACAGTTGTAACATAAATACCCACTCAGACATGTTATTCTGACTCCGACCAAGTCCTTGTTTTAGCCCCTTTATGCTGAGCACCAGGCAGGGAAACAACAAGTACCATCGTTTAGATCTTTTGGCAAGACATAGCCAGGGATTGAACCCCAAAACCTTACCGTCTCCAGACAGACTCTCTATCCACTACACCACAGAGGTGAACCTTGGTCACAGAGGTGAACCTTACCATCTCCAGACAGACTCTCTATCCATTAGACCACAGAGGTGAACCTTGATCACAGAGGTGAATCTTACCCTCTCCAGACAGACGAGTAGTGTGGGTCAATGTTCCTTAAGAGTGCAGTTACCAATAATACAATGAAAAGTGCACCCCTTGTGTAAGTGAGTGAGTGAGTGATTTGAGGTCAAACCACTCTGAAATTTATTTAAGTAATATTGCAGTCTAATGTGGGATGAAAGCAAAGCAGATCTTGGATGTTTCCCACTCTTGTGAAATGTAATCGGTATGGTACCGACAAACCTAGCCTTACAATCACTGCTAATATGGAATTTGAACCCACAAGCATTGGATCCTGGCATGTCTATGGCACACAACTCCAAGTAGTGCACAGACTATTGGGCTGCCTCACGACATGGAAATCAGGGAGTGAGTTTAACACTACTTTTAACAGTATTCCAGTTATATCACAGCGTGTCAGTCAATATTTTCAAAAGCCATTGCCTGAGAACTAATTCTTTTATTTTTTTAAGCTTAGAACAGGATGCAGGAACAGTTAAAAAAATTATATTTATCTTAACAGATTTTATTGTGAAAAATCCTGGTCAATAGCAGGGTAAATAGTATGCACATTATTTTGTGTGTTGAACATACAATGTCCTCATCAGAATCTCTTTTTCACTTTTCGTTGTCTTTGATTAGCTGAAACTATTTATTTTTTTAAAACGATTTGCCTAATGTAATTTGTGTTTCTCCTATTTACCTTGACATTGTGAAGGATAGTTGGTCCAACAAAGTTTCCCTTTTCATAGCCCTTTACTTGAATATTACGACCATCAAGTAACAGATCTGCACCTTCATTCACTCCAGATTCCACAAGGTCAACCACACGCTTCTTTGCTTCAGGGGAGATAAGCGGCCCCAAATCTGCTCCAGGTTCATGACCTGAGGTAAAGACAATATTTTGCATTTAGAATCCTGTACCATCAACAAAACAATAAAAATTAATTGTGATTTTTTTTTTTTCCATGCCAAGATCTTTTCACTATAAAACATTCTGAAGGCATGAGCAGGAAATATATGAGACTGTAGTATTGTAGGCTTGTGATTAAAGGCAGGGACAACCTCATATACATAATCATCATAACTGGCCAACCATAACAAGATCTTTTGGCAAAGATGTGATGCAGTGAGACTTCTGTGACCTTCCAGGTGTATCTTATCTGCATTCCATTATGGTAAATACCTTGGACACTTTTGCTGCTAACTTCTAAATGTCAGTACAACATATGTCTGTCTAGCTCCATGTTACACTCTTACCAGCATTGACCTTGAGTTTCCTGGCCCTCTCCACCAGCTCTGGGATCCACTCTCTAGCCTCCCCGACAAACACTGCAGTTGACAGCGCCATACACCTCTGTCCTGCCGCCCCGAACGCTGCACCCACAAGCTGTACAGAACAAACCAGGGTTACTGTGCACACACAAAAACAGACAAGACCCTTTCAAATATATACTACTCATAAGAAGAACATATTATTTCATATTACTTTATTTAATGTCATGAAATGACAGATAAATTATAGTTATTATTAGGTGTTCTTAATTACTTTTAAGTAGTATATGTGGCCTGTATAATGCTAAAAGATTAATGCTGCAACTTCTATTTTAATATGTTATATATATATGATAATAAAGGTAAACCTTGGGGCCTTATTAATGCTAAACACTGATGCATAATGCATTTCATGTTTAACATCTTTTCTAGAAGTGACATTCAAATTCAAGGCCTTTTCACATTATTTATACACATAACATATTTCAGTGGTGTGGTGTGGTGTGGTGTGGTGTGGTGTGGTGTGGTGTGGTGTGGTGTGTGTCCCACTGAGATGCTAGCCACAGTTTAACATGAATACCCCACTCAGATACTGCCTCCAAGCTGACCAGTACTTGTTTTAGCCCCTTAATCGAACCCTGGAACTTCTGTTCTTCCGGGCAGACGCTCTTGTCAGTACACCACGCCAACCCGACGACAATATCATGGCAACATTAATACAGCCAAATGGAAAGATGTCGATCCACCCATCAGTCACACCTCTACTGTTGCTGTCTTTCCCATACTTGAACATGTTGTAAGTCTCCCTGGTACACGGCTATGTTGGGTGTCTCACCTGAGTCAGGGTGCTCTCCTTGTTGGCATCAGGCATAATCACTCCATGGTTTTTGGCTCCCTACAAATACAACATAAGTGTGATTGCTTGGCTCCCTACAAATACAACATAAGTGTGATTGCTTGGCTCCCTACACAGCTTTTCAGTTTTAATGTGGGAGGAAAGCCCCAAGTAATGCAGGTCTCAGACCTTTACCACTTTGTTGAAACCCACAAGCGATAGTATGGTGCTGACAAACTTACAAACATAATTGGGGCGAACCAGGAATCGGAACTTATGAATCTCTGCAGTGCCCAAAAGGAGGCAACTCCGTGGTGCCTTAGATGACAGGGCCACCAGGTCTACTCTTATGACAATCACAGAGCAAGAATACATTATCCATCAGAGTCTACTCTTATGACAATCACAGAGCAAGAATACATTATCCATCAGAGTCTACTCTGATGACAATCACAGAGCAAGAATACATTATCCATCAGAGTCTACTCTTATGACAATCACAGAGCAAGAATACATTATCCATCAGAGTCTACTCTGATGACAATCACAGAGCAAGAATTCATTATCCATCAGAGTCTACTCTGATGACAATCACAGAGCAAGAATACATTATCCATCAGAGTCTACTCTGATGACAATCACAGAGCAAGAATTCATTATCCATCGGAGTCTACTCTTATGACAATCACAGAGCAAGAATACATTATCAATCGGAGTCTACTCTTATGACAATCACAGAGCACAAATACATTATCCATCGGAGTGTACTCAGATGACAATCACAGCAAGAATTCATTATCCATCGGAGTCTACTCTTATGACAATCACAGAGCACAAATACATTATCCATCGGAGTCTACTCTTATGACAATCAAAGAGCAAGAATACATTATCCATAGGATTCTACTTTTATGATAATCACAGCAAGAATACATTATCCATCGGAGTCTACTCTTATGACAATCACAGAGCAAGAATACATTATCCATTGGAGTCTACTCTTATGACAATCACAGCAAGAATACATTATCCATCGGAGTCTACTCTTATGACAATCACGGAGCAAGAATACATTATCCATCGGAGTCTACTCTTATGACAATCACAGCAAGAATACATTATCCATCGGAGTCTACTCTTATGACAATCACAGCAAGAATACATTATCCATCGGAGTCTACTCTTATGACAATCACAGAGCACAAATACATTATCCATCGGAGTGTACTCTGATGACAATCACAGCAAGAATACATTATCCATCGGAGTCTACTCTTATGACAATCACAGAGCACAAATACATTATCCATCGGATTCTACTCTTATGCCAATCACAGAGCAAGAATACATGCTCATTTTTAGTCTACTCTTGTGACGAGCAATGCAGTGTTTGGGACATTTGATTAATTATTATTTATTTAGGGCTCCAAGTCGAAAGGCTGTAGAGCCCTATTGTAATAGTTTGATTTATTATTAGTGCTCCAAGCCGAAAGGCTGTAGAGCCCTATTGTAATCGTTCGATTTATTATTATTATTATTATTTATTAATCCGCCGATTTTTGTACCAGACCTAGCAAAATATCCACTGGCTTGATTTTGTTCAAATTTTGTTTGTGTATGTAGACCGTTGGGTACTAGTGCCCACCAAAAACCCAAGGCCATAGGCCCAAAGGCCAAGGGCAGATAACTAAAAAAACGGAATTTTTTTAAGATGTATTTTGCCCTATTGCTGCGCAACCGCTTATCTGATTACTTTCAAACCTTGCATGTATCTGCTGCTTGAGCTGCTTGACATTTTTTGTTTTTTGACTTTGGTCATTGGTCACATGGTTTGGCAGCCATATTGGATTCAAGGTTTTTTGGGGTACCTGTCTTCAAACGCAAACAACTCCGAGTCCACTGCATGAAATGCTTTCAAACTTTCTGATAATTGTCTCCATACATGACACATCAAACATTACTAGCTGATTTTGGATATCTTTTTTAGCCTCGGCCATACTGGATTTGGATTTTGATCTTCTTTTTTTCACCGAAATTTACTTTAAAGATCATATCTTGTAAGGTTCTCCACAGAAACTACTGAAAGTTTGCATGAAGTTTTGGTACTATATGTACCTCATTTTCTTCTGGGTTGCATATGAAAGCACCACCGCTTGGTGGTATTATTTGATTTTAGTAAAAAATCAGACTTGAGTACAAATACTGAAGAAGCGCCCCATAAATCAACTATAAACCCCCATTCACTGGCTTTGCAGATACCCAAGCCTGCTTCACAGTCTTGTTGCAAATGTTCAGTATTATGTATACTACCCTTGACGATCAGGGTTAGAATTGGCCTTTATCAACCTATGCTTGTCTCAAGATGCAACTATGCTTGTCACAGGAGGCGACTAATCGGATTGGGTGGTCAGACTCGCTGACTTGGTTCTTCATTTCTCAATTGCCAATTGTTTCAGTACCTTACTTTTGACGGCGTTGTTAAAAGCAAACCATTTGCGGATTAGAATATGGTCGAGGTCGGAAATTGGTTAAAACACCATTGGACACCCAGGCACATGTCAATTCCGTAGTGGTGATGTCTCACAAGCGTTCCTTACATTTGACGGAGTTGGTACAAGCAAACCCTTTGGGGATTTTAACATGGTCGAAGTCAAACATGGGTTAAGAACACACTGGGACACATGTGGTGATGTCTCGCAAGCGGTTCCTTACATTTGATGGCGTTGGTACAAGCAAACCATTTGAGGATTCGAACATGGTCGAAGTTGGAAATTGGTTAAAACATCATGGGACACCCAGGCACATGTCAATTTAGTAGTGGTGATGTCTCACAAGAGGTTCCTTACATTTGACGGCGTTGGTACAGGTAAACCCTTTGAGGATTCGAATATGAACGCGGTCGGAAACAGGTTTAGCACTTTATCTCAGCAATGCGACAGAAACCCAGGGCCCGGACGAACGCAGAACGCTAATCCGTTAGACTGGAGCACAACTGACAAAGAAGTTACAGCCTGTTAAAGAGTCACCAAGACGAAAGGCTGAAGAGCCCTATTTTTTGTTCTTTGACTTTGGTCATTGGTCACGTGTTTTGGCAGCCATATTGGATTCAAGGTTTTCACAGGGTTTTTGGGGAATATGTCTTCAAAACCTATCTCCTCTGAACCCACTGCATGAAATGATTTCAAACTTTCTGAGAATTGTCTCCATACATATCACATCAAACACTGTTAGCCGTTTTTGGATATCTTTCTTAGTGAGAGAGTGAGAGAGTATGGTTTAGCGCCGCTTTTAGCAATATTCCAGTAACATCACGGCGGGGCACACCAGAAATGGGCTTCACACATTGTACCCATGTCGGGAATCGAACCCGGGTCTTCAGCGTGACGAGCGAACGCTTTAACCACTAGGCTACCCGACCGCCCTCTTTCTTAGTGATGGCCCTGTTGGATTTTGATTTTGATGATTTTTTTCACCGAAATTTTACTTTATATAAAGATCATATCTTGTATGGTTCTCCACAGAAACTATTGAAAGTTGACATGAAGTTAGTCGGACATATGTACCTCATCTTTTGTTCTTGGTTGCATGCTAAAAGTACCACCACTTGGTGGTAATATTTTATTTATATTTGGGACACCCCTGGAACACGCCAATTTCGTAGTGGCGAAGTCCGAAGGAGATGGTACAAGCAAACCCTTTGAGGATTCAAACATGTTCAAGGTCAAAAATGGGTTTAGAACAGACTTGGACACCCCTGCACACGACAATTTCGTAGCGGCGATACCCTGCAAGTGGTGCCTACATTTGACGGATTTGGTATGAGGAAACCCTTTGAGGATTCGAACAGGGATGTTTGTGCACAGTGTTACTTGGAGCACGCCATTGCTGCTTTGCAGCTATATTTTGTAGTTTGTAGTTACCTTATCCATCAGCTCTGGTCTAATATACCTAAAACATGAAATAACAAAGTTGTTGCCTAACAACATGAAAGTTTTCTACAGAGAACTGCACTTGACATCAATATTTGCTCTCATTCCGTTATAGTTACCATGTTTGATTGCACCCGTTTGCCGTTCCGTGATCCTCTCTCATAGATGTACTGACCCTGGTAAAACAAGAGCAGTCATAAAGTCTGAAACTTGAAAGGTGGGATACTTGCATGAAAAACAAAGTGATGCTTATGGTATAACAGAGATAGCCACAAATGTTTATATCATAGATCAGAGAGGAGTGAGTGAACAATATTCTGGTTACATCATGGCATGTCAGGAGCATGTTTGAGCCGACAAACCTAGAACCATAATCAGGGCAGATCTTGGATTCAAAACAAGAATCTTAGGTTTCTGGTACCAGAAATGGGATTTCAGTGTAACATAGCTGGAAATCAAACCACCGACACCCTGAAGTTTGAAGTATATTTTTTACCCAAATGGAAACATCAGTGTTACATAAATTTAATTACTGTAAACCTTGAAAGTTTTACAAGCAGGAAAGTACTGCAAAAACTGCGAGGGACACAATGCTTTCATGATGAGAGTTACTTTGCAGACCAACCACAAAGAAAAGACGGAATGAGGCATACTAATCTAAACTGTTAGATAAACACGCTTTACTACCTTCCGTGTCAACTACAACAACACATGCATTATAGTCTTAATCTCACTGACTGACACTGAGTTACCATTTCATCATGTCGCTTCCTACTTAGTAAAATCTAAATATTTTTTTACATTTGTATACTTATCCTGCATTACTCCCCAATGCATTCACTGCTTACATTACGACAACAAGAAGGACAGCGCAACTGCGAAGGTCCTGGGTGAAGAAATAAAGTTGTTGTCCTGAAGTCCCTTTACTGAGCTTCCGTCTCTGTCCTGTGACCTTGATGACACCTAAGCTCATCTTCACATCACCGCCTGTTGCCCAAGCTCTTAGAAAAACATACTTTTGAGGTTTCTGAAACCAAAGTGGGGAGGCAAGTCTGCGACGTGTGGGCCTTAAACGTAGTAATGCAGGATAAGTATACCAATGTAAAAAATATTTAGATTTTACTAATTTTTTTACTCATCCTGCATTACTCCTTAATGCATCTGTATCGGACAGTTTGGAGTTGGGTAAACCTTCAGAATACAGAAACCTGAATAATTCACACCCTGCAATACGACACCAGTTGGTCGATAAACTGTGAAGTGGAAAAGTTCCGAAAAACGCCATTATGGTTGGGTTGTTCAAATATCAAAACGATTGAACTTAGGAATTAAAGAGAAAATCCCTATACACATTTAGTAATAAAGAAAATAATAGCTTATCAGCTAATTCTTTACTTACTATGTCATAGAGCCGTTGTTGACAAACAAGATTGTCTAATATTCTTCCACTGGCGGCAACTAAGTGACTGCACATGGGAGTAGGGTGGCTCTGTATAGGGCAAGTTCATTATTTCCGTCAGGGGTTGGTAACCTGCTGGGTTACAACCGAAGGGCCAAACTTCGCACGCCTTCGACGTCCTCGAGAGCCACAACGCGAAGATAATGACTAATGAAAACTGTGTTGAACCTCCAGAAATATCCTTCCGTGATATGGTGTTTGCGACTAACTTCGGTCATGGACGTAGTAAACATGGGTATAAATAACCGTTTCCTCAAACCACACTTAGTCTTGGAGTGGCGAAAGAAAACTCAAACTGCTCGCACCGAGCCCAGAAGAACTTCCCCTTCATGTACGGCTCCCACAATAGTCAATATTGGTGGGATGGTGAAGGAACGGTCAGGTTGGCCTGGTAGTTGATTTTAGCAATAAAATCCCAGCATAACCCCAGATGTACCGCTCCGTGCGGCCCATGCTCAAAAGGACCCGGGTGGTGTCAATGATATGTAGTTTGCTCACCTGTGCCGCCATTGCTAATGCCAAGTGAAACCATTGTTTTCTTGGTGAGGTCATAAAATGAGGATGCACAGAGGGGCTCGAAGGGGGGCCCTCGCAAACCTCGAAGTACCACGTTCAAGTCCCAAGCAGGTGGGCGGAACTTTGCCTCAAGCCTGAATGAGCGTAATAGGGCCTGTAGTTAAGTGACCTTAATCACCTTGTGATTTTACGGAACAGCCAACACTGAGTTAAGTGCAGCCAATTATGTAGTAATGGTGTTATCTTCCAAGTGTCTTTGGGTATGCAAATGTAGGAGGTATTCCGCTAGGAATTGTTGTGACGCAATCGTAGGGTCTTGATTCTTTTGCCTTGCAAAAAGTCTCAAATGATCCCCACTTGTCATCGTATAGTCCTCTGGGAGAGCAATGATGAATTAAAGCTATAGCTTTGCTGCCTGTGCCAAAATAACCCTTCGCACTTAAATGCCTCTTAAAGACGAACCATGTGTGCAGACGTTGGGTGAGGCAATTTGCTGTGATGGTGGATGAGTAGGTTGGACCTCTGTGGGAGGGGTAGTGGATCGACTTCGCCAAGATTTTTCTGTGCTCAAGGAACACCCTCTCGCTGGTCACCAGGGCGCGACCAAGGTGAGAGCAAGATACCTTGCCTTCTTGATCCCCTGTATCACCTTGGGAAGTAAAACTGGTGGCGGAAAAGCGTATGCTTTTAGCCCTTCCCAAGGGATACTGAACTCGTCCACCGCCCAAGTCTGCAGATCCGGTAACGGGAAGATATATGTCATGAGTTGTTGGTCTAGGCAAGTAAGAAACAAGTCAATGTTTGGTTGCCTGAACTTCTGAAGCAGTAACTGGAATGCTTCTGTGAGAAGTTTCCACTCGGTGCGAGCCACCCTGTCTGGATGTATGTTTTGACATCCGGGGATGAGCTGAACTATGAACTGTAGTTGCAGCCGATCCACTAGATAGAAAAACCTGAATGTCTGTTGAAGCAGGGAGTGGGAGTGTGTTGTTCCCTGATTGTGCAGGCACCACACCGCAGAGCTGTTGTCTGTGGATATTGCAAGTTGAGTTGACTGTAGTTGATTCTGCCAATGTGATATAGCCAGAATTAAAGCTTCCAACTCCAAGTTGTTTGTGTGCCACTTTCACTGAGCGCCGGACCATACCCCTGAGGTTATCTGGTCTTGTCAGTGAACACCCCACCTCTGAAGGGGGGGGCGTCCACGAATAGGTCTATATTCAGGGAAAAACTGAATAAAGAGACTCCGAAGACATTCAACACCACCACTGAGGTAAGGCCCTAGTTTAGCTGGTAGAGTGATGGCCTTGAATGGATCCTGACTCCTGATGTAAGGGTTCAGGAAAAGATGAATTGTTCACAGTTGTAAGAGGCCCATGCTAGTTACATCCTGTGCCGAGGTGAGTAACCCTAGCAACACTTGCCATTGGTGAAGCGTGTGTGGTTGGTGTAGAGCAGATGACAACAGGCATAGAATCTTGTGTCATCTGTCCCTCGGTACATCTGTCCTGGTCTGTCTGGAACAGGCCTCCAAGGAACTGAAGCTGACAGGAAGGAGATAACTCCAGACTTCACCTCGATGATCATCCATCCCAGTTAAAAAGATATAGTAGCCGTCTGCCTGGTGAATTCCCGGTGGCTTACTAACATTGATGTGTTGATGACACAGTAGATCATCATCCATCTACGACTCGAACCAAGTGTTCGTCAAGTGTAGATACGCAGTTATTGGCTTCATTTCTCCTGTAAATAGCCATAGGGTCACTGACATGCAAATTTGGAACACTGCCCAATGGTAGTGAACCCCATTGAACTGGACCTGAGGAGTCTACGGTTGGGATGGATAGTCGAGACTGATCAAGAATCAAACGTTGATTATGAGAGGTCTCAACTTGGTGAGCCAGCAATAATGTGGACGCTTCAGATAACGTTCGTTGAACACGGAGATATTGTGGATCATTCTCATCTTGTCTGGGTCCTTCATGGGTACCAGGCAGATGTTAGGAGAGAACCCCGGTGTAAAGACTGGGTTGTGAACCAACTCTACAGCTCTTCTTACCAACAGTATGTCTATTTGGATTTTCCAAATCAAACTGTGGTCAACGGTGGAGTTACCTCTACGTGTATACGGAAACCATGATATAGTACAATGAGTACGTAATCGTCCTTGAGACTTGTCTCTGCCACGCCCTTTCCCAGTAAGGGAATAAGGTCTTCCTTGAGAGAAGTGCGTCTAGGCTTGAAATTGCCTGACTTGCCAGCCCGCTGGGATAGACTAAAAGACACGTGCTCTAGACTCTTGCGCACAGTGTCATCCCAAGCGTTTTGGGAACTTGGCGTGCGTGTCTGCGATCTGTTCATTGAACACGGGAGTTGATGACCAAGGTTGACATAGAAGCCTGCCCTTGAAACCAGAATCCCAGTTGGAAACACTGTACAGTCTGGGTGTAACGGTAATCTCCCCCAGGGCGGGCTCAAGATGAATTTTCCTGTGGTCAATCTGACGCTGTAGGAAAATCTCCATAGTTTGGAAGTGATCTAATCAGATAGGGTTATCCTCTGATAGATCCTGATCCACGGCAAACATTGACGATGTTGGTGGCTTAAATGACTGAGCAAATGTGAGTTTGGAGAAGTCTTCCTCCAATGATCTCGTGGTGTCCTTCTTATTTACCCCATTACCAGGGGAGGGCGTTACTTACACGAGATGGTCTGCTACCCAATCGGGTACTTGTGCTAAGCCGGTGATCTGCTCCGGTGCGTAGTGCCTTCTCCATCCCCAGGCTTTGATGACCCGCCTGGATAGTCATGTGTCATGTGGCAATGTTCCCATACTCGCTGCCCAGCGATGTATGCTGTACCAGAAAACACATTAGGTATTTGGTATTTGTTAGGCGCAGGTGTAGGCGCTTACACTTGTGCCAAGGATGTTGGAACATCGCTAAGCTGATCATGTGCCGGTTGCATAACTGAGTACACTGTAAGCCCTTGGGCTGACATCATTGTAGAGACCTTGATTGGTGCGCTCAGCGCAGGTCTATGAGACAAGGCTCATCAGTGATGACTGGATCATTGTAGAAGCACTTGGACCATTGCCCAATTAGCGTATGGGAATGGTTGGAACAGCGCTAAGCTGATCGTGCGCCGTCTTCGTAATAGAGGCGCTTGGGTAGTAGTCAGGCGCTGCGCTCAGCGCAGGTA